GTCAGTCAGCCTATGATATTACGCCTATGATATAAGTATATTTGATGATATAAAGGTAAATAAAGTAATTTTTGTATAACCTTTTTACGTGGAATCTTGTTTTAAATTTTAAATCCTTAGCTATAAAAGTTGAACATTTTATAAATTTTTAACAACAAAATTATTATTACATTTTAAATGTGATAAATGTTGTAAAAATTTGAACTTTAAATGCTTATAAAAAAAAATTGTGCCTATGTATTTTTAATATTTTTCAACTGCTATTGTAAAAATATATCAGGAGCCTTGTATTACATTTTTACACTTTTTGGCCCTACAGATAAAACTTTATTGATATATAGAAAAAAAAACTAAAAAAAATTGAAAGCTGTAAATGTCCGTAAACAGCTCAAAAAGATTCAAAATATTTTCAAAATTGTCCAGTGTATAGAAAATGCTAATATGAACATTCAGTAAAATTTTCATGTATCTACAGTCATTCGTTTTTTAATTACAACAAACTAAGGAAATCGTTACATGAGAAATCGAGTGAAATCAGAGTGATTCAAAAATAAGAATTTCAAACGTTCATAAAAATTTAATTTGAGTTTCTTGTAGACATTTTAGATTCTGAGTGAAACGATGAATGTATTGATTTTACAATGATGTGTGTTTTTTTTTTTATTTTTTAATTTTTTAATTTTTTTTTGTGTCTGTCATCACATTTAGGACAATAAAAGTGCTTAGATTTTCTTCAACAGTACCTTTTCTGATAGGAAAGTGAATCTAGTTGGTACTTTGGGGGATCAAAAGTAAAAAGAAGTTTTCTCAAGCGCCGGGAAAAACAACATAAAAATTAAGGAAAAACTGGAATTTTTACTCAAAATCGGTTTTCCAAAAAGAAAGTCAAATTAAATTTTTATGAGCGTTTGAAATTCAAATTTTTAAAACATTGGATATTCACTCGATTTCTCATGTAGCGATATCCTTATTTTGTTTTAATTCAAAAACAAATAACTGTAGATACATGAAAATTTCACTGAATATTTATATTAGCATTTCCTATACACCATACAATTTTGACTCTTTTTGAGCTGTTTACGGATATTTACAGCTTTCAATTTTTTTTAGTTTTTTTTTTCTATAAATATCAATAAAGTTTTATCTGTTGGGCCAAAAAGTGTAAAAATGTAATTAGAAAGTCAAATTAAATTTTTATGAGCGTTTGAAATTCATATTTTTACAAATATTTTTATTCACTTGATTTCTCATTTAACGATTTTCTTATTTTCATATAATTCAAAAACTAATGACTCTAGATACATGCAAATTTAACTGAATGCTTATTTTATCAATTCTTCTACTTGATAAAATTTTGAAAATATTTTGACACTTTTTGAGTTGTTTTCAGTTTTCAACTTTTTTAGTTTTTTTCTATAAATATCAATTTTAATCGTTTCACTCAGAATCTAAAACCTAGAATAACTATTTTAGTTATTTTGTTGTGATTGAATAATATTATTCGTGGGTACTTGAAACTTCTATTGTGTATTAATATATATCTATGATAGTATCATCGTTTTTTGTTGATGTATAACGCGTTATAAGTACCTAATGGATATTGTGATATGATTAATTTGGAATTTATTTTATAGGTACCTATTATAGGTTAATTTTTTTTTTTTATTATCATAGATATGTATATAATATGTCTTATACCTAGACTGACATACCGTCTCCACTTAGAATCGTTTTTCTTATACAATTATATTATATCATTGAATTTAAATTTAATACCATCTATTATACAGTGACCCACTTGTAACCTACAGTACAGCAGAGCACCTTTTTTCTATTACAGTAGAACTTCGATTAACCGTCACTCTCTGTTATCCGTCATCGGTCACCGCCAAAAAAAAAAAATAATTAGGCGATTAGACGATCGCGATAAACTCGTGCCCAACACAGTAACTATCAAGTGTATAAAAATAGTTTGTAATATGTACATATCCAATATAAGCGATAGGGATAAACGAACTATAAACTTATGTGTGTATGTATTGTACTATGTACTTACTATAAATTTGAAATTTTGAATGATGAACAAATTATTTTGAATGTCACTACCTTTGAAGAAAAAGAAATTGATGAGGATGTCGAAGATGTTTGAAGTACAAGAAGAATCAAATGCTACCCAAGTCTTACTTCTACGTCAAATACGTAATATTGCTGATAAAAAAGCTAGAGAATCAAAAAAACAAACTAAAATGACAGATTTTTTTTTATAATATGTGTGGTATGTATGTTTATAATTTGTTTCAATGTAAGTATTTTTTTTTTTTAAAGTACACACGTAAAATATGATAAATATATAATATAAATATAAAATATAATAAATGTGTGTATGTATATGTATTTACACGTTTTTTTTGCAAAATTTCCGTTAACCGTCTATTCGATTAACCGTCATAGCCCTGGTCCCGACAGTGACGGTTAATCGAAGTTCTACTGTATACCCAATATAAGGTCCATTTTAGAAGTCTGAGTTTAGAAATAGAAAATATTTCAACTTTTTTAAAACACCTTTAACTTTTAAAAATTTAAATTTAAAAAAAACGAAACGACTTGCCCTTATAAATATTGTCACAGTTAAATTTTTATAATAGGTATTTTTACTCTAGAGTCAAAATTCAGCAAGTTATACTGAGTGCGTAAACATTCTTTTAATATTATTATAAATAATAAGTTTCTTTTATTCAGAATCATTTATGTGTATTTACTATTTATATTTCAGTTCCGATCAATCAATCAACAAACAAAGAAGACTTAACTGGTATACCAAAAAAAAATTTTATCGCACAAAGTTCCTTTCTTAATCCTAGGTAAATAACCTTCAATTTGTATTTACTTTTATTTTATCATGAATTTAAAAAATGTTGAATGTATACAAAATTGAACATTATATATTAGTCCAGCTTCAAGACGTTTGGACAAACCTTCAATGAACATAACAATAAAGAATTCAGGATCACAATATTTTGAAAAGGTTAGAGACATCTAATTCACTCAAATTTAAAATGTTTGTTATAGGTAATTAGTTCCACTTTTTACATTTAATTTATATTAACTAACATATTTTTGTTCTAACTAATAATAATTACAGCATTGCTTGCTCTAACATGCTCTTCAAATTAAAAGTACAGGTTTTATTTACATTTTGTGCAGTACATAAAATATACTAGTCTTGATTTCTATGAGTTTACTATTTACTTAGTACTCAACGTAAAGCTCAACATAAGTATAAGTTCATTATATAATAAAGGAGCCATGAAGCTGTAAATCAAGAAATATTGTGTTTTCTCCAAAAGTTTTCAAATCTGATTTTCAATCGATCAGAATCTTCTTTCAATTTATAAACAATTTGTTCTTTTTTCACCACATATAAGATATCCATAAATATATTGGTGAAGACATAGTTAAATACATTATTTTTAGGTAAATATTTTCACTTCTGTAAAACAAATAGAATGTTCAGATCTAAACAGGGGCGTCATTTCAGTTTTTTTCCGGGTGTGCAAGATTTTAGGCAGGCCAATTTTAACATTTAACCAGGGCAACTTTAACATTAATATCTAAACAATAACCATGCCGTTTAAAGTATTTAGTATTTATTTTATCAGCCATGCTATGCTTACTCCACTATAGTTGATACCAGCAGGCTGGCACGAACTGTCTTACATAATAAAACCACAGAATAAGACTCGCTTCACACGGTTGTCAAATAGGGATACATTTGATAATAAAGCTGATAAAAAAAAAAATTTAATTACATGGATGAATCAGTGGCGCCAAAATATATATTTACTTTGCGCATGGTAAGGTAATTATAATAAATAGGTGGGTGTCAAAATTGTATGTGGAGGTGTCTAATGCCATATTTAAAATGTTGGACTTCAGCGCCACTGGGCCAAGAATATTTTATTAATTTTTAATAGTAATCATATCGGCGCATAGGAGCATTAATGGAGGGCCAATTATTTATTCTATTATGTCAGTGGTGCCGTCGCACACCCTGCCCACCCCCAAATGACGCCCCTGGATCTAAAATGTCCTTAGCATAAGCTCTGAAATACAAGTGTTATTTTGTAAAACAAAAAATATGAATCAAAAGAAATTTATATTTTTAAATATTTTCTAACATTAATAATTGTTCTTTAAATTATGTTTAAAGTATTTTTAACTATTAAATAGTATAACAAATAAGTTAAGTATATTTAAGACAATCTTTTGAAATGTCTACACACTTTGTTTTGAATTTGCTTAACTTAGTTCCTACTTTGATTCATAAAAAATTGAATTTTAAAAAGTAATTAATTAGTTAAAACTTATATATAAGTATTGTAAGTTTAGATGATCTGAGTAAAATACCTTAAAAAATGTTTATCTACTACAATTTCCATATCTATAGACAAAATTAGATTAGTGAGAGCAGATTACTTTATAATACAGAAACAACACTACCAAATATACGAGAAATATATAATACTAGCATGTTGTTTGTATGAAATAATAATAAGAGTTCACTCCAAAAAAAAATTGCTGTGTGTATAATAATTATATAATGTTTAATTTGTAGTATGGCTGGTTGTCCTCGAGGTGTTCTTATGTATCTAAAAACTGGAATGGCAGAATAATTGAAAAAGAAACATGCACTAATCAATCACAAGATGGAATTACTGAAACAGTTATTACTATGAAAGATGGAAACAAAAAATGCGTAGAAACAATAACAGAAAATTCAAAAACTGGAGAAAAAATTGAAAATTTACAACTATCCAACTTGGACCAAAGTAATTCTTTAATACAACTCTATCTAGTTATACGTAACTATTTAATTTCACTTTTTTTTTTATTAAAATACAGATGAAATGAATGAATTAAAAAATCAATTTTCAAAATTCTAATAGCTTGAATAAATTTGTATATGGACACACAAGAATCTAGTGATTTTCAAAACAGAATTTAATCATTGATTTGGAAAAAATATTATTATGTTATTAATATATGGTTAAATAAATTACTATAATATTATAACAGTTAAAAATTACAATACAATATACATTATGAAAGTTAAAAATTAAATATAAAATAAAATTTGTTCATATTTTTATTATTGACCTTTGCAAATTTCAATACAAACATTTTGATTTCAAGTTAATCTCCAACACAAGCCCTTTAATAAAAAATATGGATTCCCTTTCTATTCCTAATAAATCCTCCTTATTGGATACCTTAGAAGTTTCAAGTACCCACAAATTAACTAAAATAGTTATTCTAGGTTTTTATTATGTAATTTCGTCCAAATTTGAACTTAAAATGACTATAAAAATAAACTGTGCTTGTGTATTTTTTGGTAACAGAATTAACTACAAACCCTGATACTATCATAGTCCATACTCCATAGATATATAATAGTGTACTTTAGAAGTTTCAAGTACCCACGAATAATATTACACAATCACAACAAAATAACTAAAATAGTTTTTCTAGGTTTTTTTTTATGTAATTTTGTCCAAAGTTTAACTTTAAATGCTTATAAAAAGAAATTGTGTCTATGTATTTTTAATATTTTTCAACTGCTATTGTAACAATATATAAGGAGCTTTGCATTATATTTTCACGCTTTTTTACCCAACAAATAACATTTAATTGATATTTATAGTAAAATAATCTAAAAAAAGGTGAGCAAGTGGGTGTCGCTCTGCTGTACAGTAGGTTACAAGTGGGTCACTGTATAATGGATGATATTAAATTTGAATTCAACGATATAATATTATCATTGTATAAGAAAAACGATTCTGAGCGGAGACGGTATGTCAGTCAGGGGCGGATTGGGCCACCGGGAATTCGGGAGTTTTCCCGGTTGAACTTTGGCTTTTGGGTCTGGGAAAAAAAACGCGAAAAAATTTCTAAGTCCATATCACATCTATAATATTATCACTACAGCAATACTCTGCAGTGTTGCCATAATAATAATTTTATGTACCACAATAATAATTTTATACTACGTAATAATCACAAAAGTATTCTAAGTTCAAAATAATCAATTTATTCACTAGTTCATTTTCCAAAATATCGCTGCTCAAATTAAGTCCAAAATAATATTTCAAAAGTGTCAACTATAACGACCACCTAGGCTTTCGGATTTTTGATTTTTCCATTTTCCGACCACATTTCACGGACCCCCTTGGCTTTTGGGTCTGGGAAAAAATGTCGAAATATCGAAAAACGTCTAAGAGGTTTTTTATTCGTAAACCGTATTAGAAAAATAGCCTGTAGTCGGATTTTTGATTTTTCGATTTTCCGACCACTTTTCACGGACCCCCTTGGCTTTTGGGTCTGGGAAAAAATGTCGAAATATCGAAAAACGTCTAAGAGGTTTTTTGTTAGTGTACCGTTATAGAAAAATACCATGTAGTCGCATTTTTCATTTTTCGTTTTTCCGACCGCTTTTCACGGACCCCCTTGGCTTTTGGGTCTGGGAAAAAATGTCGAAATATCGAAAAACGTCTAAGAGGTTTTTTGTTAGTGTACCGTTATAGAAAAATACCATGTAGTCGCATTTTTCATTTTTCGTAATATAAAACCTCTTAGACGTTTTTCGATATTTCGACATTTTTTCCCAGACCCAAAAGCCAAGGGGGTCCGTGAAAAGTGGTCGGAAAATCGAAAAATCAAAAATCCGACTACATGATATTTTTCTATAACGGCATACGAATATAAAACCTCTTAGACGTTTTTCGATATTTCGACATTTTTTCCCAGACCCAAAAGCCAAGGGGGTCCGTGAAAAGTGGTCGGAAAATCGAAAAATCAAAAATCCGACTACAGGCTATTTTTCTAATTCGGTTTACGAATAAAAAACCTCTTAGACGTTTTTCGATATTTCGACATTTTTTCCCAGACCCAAAAGCCAAGGGGGTCCGTGAAATGTGGTCGGAAAATGGAAAAATCAAAAATCCGAAAGCCTAGGTGGTCGTTATAGTTGACACTTTTGAAATATTATTTTGGACTTAATTTGAGCAGCGATATTTTGGAAAATGAACTAGTGAATAAATTGATTATTTTGAACTTAGAATACTTTTGTGATTATTACGTAGTATAAAATTATTATTGTGGTACATAAAATTATTATTATGGCAACACTGCAGAGTATTGCTGTAGTGATAATATTGTAGATGTGATATGGACTTAGAAATTTTTTCGCGTTTTTTTTCCAGACCCGAAAGCCAGAGTTCAACCGTTTTCCCGGTGGGCCGCTTTTTGAAATAACTATGTATTCTTAAATTCCTATTAGGTACCTTTTTTTCCGATTTTTCAAAATAAGATAATACGAATTGGATTGCGCACAGTATGCAAAAGTAGGTATATCAGGTAGGCATCTATCTACGGTGGATTGCTGACACAACGATGAGAGCCAGAAAGCAAAAATATAGTATTTTTCGAAAAGCAAAAACAGCAAATGTTATATAGCGGGGTCACTAGTTAGGACAGTTAAAATCGAAAACAACCCTTGATATGTTATGTAAAACCACATTGGGTGATCTCTAGGTAACGACAAACTTCGGAAAAAGTCTACTTTAATTGACATCCCGCGGAAGTAGAAAATAGAAAAAGTCAACTTGATTTGAGCAGTAAGCACTGTAATATCGAAAACTATTATTTGCTGTGACTTTTGAACATGGTTTAAATTTCCGAAAATTGTTTCATACACTTTTTAATTCAGTATACTAATACAGTTGTAGTACACGCGTATTTCGGGTGTAAAAAAATTGAGCGTCATTCGTTTGGGCGAATAACACAAAATTAACTTGAATAATGCGTATATCATTTGGGCGAGAAATAACCGATCGTTTAGGCGAATTTATAAATTATTGAATAATAGGGAAGTAACATTACGTAGGTATACAATATTTTTTATAATATTTAGGTACTACAGCTAAATATTATTATTACCTATATCGTTTCGGCTGATTAGTGAATACAGATAGTGAACGATTAAAAATTATCGTTGATATTCATATATCTAT